TCCCAAGTTGACTCAATGGGGGAAGCTTTCCGGAACCAACCCGCGATCCGAGTTTCTTGAGCCGCCGGCTGCGGCCAGTGGGCCCTGTAGCGCCTCCGTTGCAGAGGAGTACACTTGCCGGGCCTCAGATGACTTGGGGCGAGGGCAAAACTAGGAACTGGTCGAAGCTTTCAATGGCAAGGGGAACCAACGGAAACCAACCAGCTGAAGGCTTTTGGGATCCCCAATTTGGAGAAACGCCCCAGTGGCAAGGATTGCTTGGGGTTCTACGGATTTCCCCACCTTCCAATTCCAAAGAATTGGTCACTCCTCAAGGAATTCCCGAGACACATCGGAACAAACCACAGAAAGATGAGCGCTGGTTGAGTCCTGAGAAACCGATTTCCGGATGTGTTTGCCCGAGCCTGAAGCACTGAACAGGTGTGTCGAAGAAACCAGGATGAACAAATAAGGTTGGTCAAAGATTCACTCGTGTATGGTGAATTTGAAAAGGACATGGGGCTCGCTCCCTTTTAAACCCCAAAAAAAGAGCTTTGGGGGAGACCCTAGATACGATGGTTAAAAATAATATATCACTATGAAGGGGAACTTCTGCATGGGTGTCACAAGATTTCGTTTATGAGACTGCTACAATTTGCTCACATGACGATCCTGCTGCGGTGCTTGGTAACATGATGTGTCCCTGCACGTTTCGGAGTCCAACGGACTCTGCACGCCGCCCCACGGACCACCGTGTTTGGGGGCTCCCTATCGACATCCTTGGCGACGGATGGGAGGACAAGGGCGGCTGGTGAAATGATGTGTCTTGGTGGGTCCGAAAAATTGACACCTTGACGTCTGGCCGACTAACATTATTATAAAGGTTTTACCTAGGTTTTACTCTACCAAAACGGGATACCATTAAAAAAGCACGATGCTATCCATGCCAGACAGACTGGGGCCCGAGCCCAAATGCTGCGCCCGAGATGGAACATCTGCGCCTATGCTTTGGGCCGGGGAAGGGGTCGACTCGCTTGGGATAAGTATGGCTTCTGCTGGGCAATCCCCCCCCCCAAACCCACAAGCTGGCTGCGCGCTTTTCTCATGGCCACTGGGCATCTGGCGGGGAATCAAAGTCACTGGCGATAATGGCAAAAAAACATAACTGCCTTTTTAAAGATTAGATTCATTCTGGTGGGGTGATGCAGGGGGACACTTGAGTAACTAGCTGGCAACACCATTGGTAGCTTGCTTTCGGCATGTCGGGCCCGATTTTCTGGCAAAAAATCATAACTGCCTTTTTAAAGATTAGATTCATTCTGGTGGGGTGATGCAGGGGGACACTTGAGTAACTAGCTGGCAACACCATTGGTAGCTTGCTTTCGGCATGTCGGGCCCGATTTTCGACCAATTTGGGGTTTGCCATTGTCGATTATGCTTGAGATGTTGGTGATGTGGTACTACCTGTCTGTGGCGTGCATTTCGACGTGGAAGGCGGTGTGTCGGGTGAACAGGGTGGTTGCACTGTTTTTCGCGGGGGCCAAAAGCTTGCCGGCTTTTTTGTTGCCGATTTGCAGGTCAGCGGCACTCCCTACATCCTGGCGCTACCGCAAGGCTACAGCAAGCGGGGTGCAGTGCAGCGTGGCTATCTGGCAATTGTGTGGCGCAAGACGGCTGGCAGCATCTATTTGGTGGTGCCGTGGACATCTGTGCCTGTAGCTGTGATTTTCAGGGAATTGGTCGAGGTGAAGCTTGGGCAGAGTTTTTTCTGAGCAAGCATGGGAGGATAGAGACAGGCGTTTGGTGCTATGGATCCTCTTCTGGGAGACTACGAGGTCAATCTCTCTTGGTCGTGAGGAAACGATTAGCCTCCAGTGCATCCGTTCAAATGTGTGAGAATAGTGTGTACGTGGTGCTGAACATGGTGCTGCAATTTGTGATGATCGGGTGCTTGAGGCAAGTGGCTACGCAACATGTGCAAAGGGTACTGGCCTAGCTCAGGTGTGATACAGACGTTTTGGTCCTGCTCGGCATGGTATTTCCTGTGTAGTGCATCCCGGGGCGTGTCGTTTGGTGTGATGGGCTGCTCATGTGGCCAACCACCGCGCAAGCAGAAAAAGATGTGTTCTGTCAGCAATGATACCTGCAAAGGTGTATATGGTCGGCGGCGCACAGCCCCGTCGCTTGTCAACTGGCTTCTAATTGGCAGTCTTTGCCACATGGCGGGATGGCTATTTGACCTTTTCTTTGGACAGGCGCTGCACAGGTTCCGCAGGCTGCCCACGTGTATGGCGGATGCCTGTTTTGTGCCATGGCTTCGAGAACAGCTTGCTCATGCGCCTTCAGGTGCGGCTGTTTCGGGCTGCCGTGCGTCTAGCTGGCGGTGTCACGCAAGGGCTGATTCGCCTCCTGCATCAACTCCACAGATGGCCACAAGCGCCTTGGGACTTGGTGCAAAAGTGATGAACCCCCACCAAACGTGGACACCCCCCTAGCAATAAACCTATGAATTCCGGGCTTCCCGTCAACTGGAAAGCTGGACCTTGGGCTCCTGGCAGCAGCTTGCAGCGGGTCCCAGTCCCAATCGCCGTTGAAGCTGCGAAGGGTATGGACGTAGGCGTAGAGGGCCTCCGTACACACACACACATGTATACGTGGGCACAAATTTTAGTTAGGGACCCTCTGGTGGACATGATTTAGGTGGGGTGTTATGTCCACTAATCACTTTCCAGGAGGTTCCCTATTTAAATTCATGGCCATATATTCCACAGTTTCCCCCAGATCGCCGGGTGCGGGAGAACATGAGGCTCCCAAAATGTCCCCTGAAACATCACCCCAAAAAACTCGCCGCTGGGCCAGAAAGCTGAGGTTTCAACCCAAGAACAAAATATCGGAACCCTGGCCATAGAACTTGTGGGGGGAAAACACACCAAAAATGACAAAAAGTCAACAACTCAGGACCTTGGTTCAGGCTTTGTGAGGTCACTAGAACATTTGCCTCGATCCATCGATCTGTCCCATGTTTGCTGAACAAACACCGGATCTAGAAAAAAAAACCCTCCCAAAAACCGACTCAAAAACGAAGCTCCCTTAAGCCTGCCTGGGGTCCATCGCTTCTCACCCGCCCATTTTTCCGCTCTAAAGGCGCCTCCAGGACAGTGAAGACAACACTGGGATGCGCCTCACCAATGGACCAACTCTGGCGACTTGGCTCCAACTGTCTCGACCTGTTTGTTGAGTAACACGTCTTGAGCATTTGATCTTAAACCCGAAGCTAGACAGTCAACTCTTGTCCTTGCCGGACGGGCTGCTGCAAAGACCTGCATGCAAATGCCAAGGGATACAATGCCAATCCATATCCCTCTGGGCACACGTCAAACGTGTGTGCAGGACATATCAGCTTGTGTGGAAACATCACGTCACATCATACAGTATGTCCTCTCACGCAAACATGCATAGTCGGCATTTTTGGCACCCTCGCGACACATTGTGCGCGGTCGTCAAAGCGGGTCCGAAAGAGGCCCAAGTGACCTCTACATCGGTAGTTGTCAGAAGTGGGACTTTAAACCAACCTGGAAAAGGGTCAAACGCAAACACACAGTCAAACATAGACAGCCACACGTCACCCTGAGATGCCCGGCCTGTCGAGCTCCATCCGCACTGCAACCTCACGCAGCAAGTGACCTTTGGTTGACACCACATGCACCATGATTTGTTTCTTGGCTTGCTTGCTTGCTTGCCTGCTTGCTTGCTTGCTTGCTTGCTTGCTCACTTGCTTGCTTGCTTCTCTGTCTGTGTCTCTGTCTCTGTCTGTCAGTCTGTTTGTTCAGCGTCACAGGGCTGGATGCCCATCTCGACGTTTGCAATGACTGATTCCAATGTCCATATTCATGTCTCCTGGATCCATGCCATTTCCCCGTCTTCCATGCCCAGGGACATCACCGCCTGTCAAAGGACCCTGAAATCAAAGATTCTCCTCTCGGGACCTTGTCTGGACCTGAAACTAAACCGCTCACTTGTCCAAGAGGACATGGATCTTCTCAAGATAAACTACTCAAGGCATCTGACAAAATGCAGATGTGAGGTCATAAGCGCCCTGGGTCACCCTACGCCCAAACGGATCACTGGGAACTCGAAATAACAGGTTGCGCCGAGCAGCAAAGATGTGCCGGCGGAGTCTGGTGGAGCCGCTCATCGCCTGAAACACTCTACCACAGGGGATAAATCCCAATGAACATGGAGAGAATAATTCGGCTCATGTCATTGCAGCCTCTCAACAAACAACAAGCAGCACCTAGGGTAGCATTCATGTTCCCTAAAGGTTGGGGGGGGGTGGGGTGGCGTGGGCGGGGGGGAGGAGTTCCCGATACCCCATCGACGCTGCCGGGGTCGCCCTTGGCGTTGGGGAATCTGAATCTTGCGCCATCCATAGGAGACTCGCATAGCAAAGTCTGCTCAACCGCCATGGAGATTGCAACTTCCACTGAGATAGGGAGGTGGAAATACTGTGGATGGACGAACTCCTGCACCACTTTGAAACCATGGGAAACCATGGTTTGCTGGTATTTACCGGGGAATCGAATCCTTCCAGGGTTTTTTAGGTGGTGCGAAATGGATTTCGCAACCATCCACAGTACCACAGGATGAATGCAGATCGGCAAGCCGCTTCCTTTCGCCGGGTCTTCGTCTTGTCGTTGCTGCTGCTGCCGCTGGCAGGTCTTGTTGACGAGCATTGTCTACGGCGAGCAGTGGGCTGCGATGTGTGTTTTCAAACCCTTCCGCGAAGCTTCCGCGGCTGTGGCGCGGCGCGTAGTTCCAAAGAAGACCTCCTGCACCTCTACATACTTTGAGGAGCAAACACATCGAACCTCAACTATTTGCAGTCCAACTTCTATTGTGGGAACCATGCGAATGCGGCAAACATATTGTTCGAACCATCCCTGGTGAAACCGATGGCCGGAAAAAAGAAAAGAAAAAAACATGTGCAGAGCTCCACATCTTGGAAACACCCCGACGGCAGCTCAGGTTTCAGCCGGGCCTGCGTCATCCAAGGAGCTGAGATCAATGGCAGCAACCCGCTGCCACCTCGCGCGCAAATGGCTGGCCTCGTCCTTGACTCATGAGAACCCCAACTACGGGGGGTAAGCAGGAGGCTCAGGGAACCGTTGGAATGTCTTGGTCTGGAGCTCCTCAAAGGAGCAACAACAACCTTGGGGAAGCCTATGGCATCCCAACCTTAGTAACGTGACCCACCCGTAGTAGGGCTTTCATACGGCCATTCAATTCAACAAGCGTCAGGGTTCTCGCCCTCCAACAACAAGGAGCCTCCCTTTGAGATTGTATTCCTGGTTAGCGATCCTTCTGCAACTACTCAGGGAAGTAATTGGTATTCCATGTCCCTTTGCATGTCCCTCTAGGAGTACAGGGCCAACTGACTCTCATCTTCCCACCAAAGAGCTCAACTTGCTATTGGCTGCTCCTCAGCTGGAAATCGGAACAAGTACCCCTGAAACCTTGGCATATTTTTGTTGGGTTCAGTGGCAAACCACAGATAGCTAGCACAACGGAAAACAAAGAAGAACAAAGAGGACTAGCTTGCCGCCGGCTTTTGGAACCAAACAAAAAGGCACCCTCAACAAAAGCACGTGTACTCTCCAAACACAAAAGGCGCCCTCCTTTAAAGCAAAAAAGCCAAAACAAAACAATGGGCACCCGCAAAAAAAACAAGAAAACGCGACACCTACGTTCCATTTCAGGGTTGCACAAACCCCGCTTTTGATTTTTTTCCCCTTCGGCCGGCGGTGTCGGCCAACCCTGGGCTGCCGGGCCAGGGCTCCCAGGCGCCGAGGGCGCGGCCCAGCTCGCCCTTCTTCAGCTCCGCGAAGAAGCTCCGGGCCTGGGCGTTGTCGACGCTGGGCGGGGCGTGGCTTTGGGGTTTTGGGGGTTTGGGGGTTTTGGGTTTTGGGCTTTGGGGGGGTTGCGTTGCCATGTTGCTGGCGCGAATGAGAATGGGAATCTCCTCAAAGGAGACAACACGTAGTGCGCTAAGGGAATGAGAAAATGGAAGGGACCTGGGGATTCCCGCCGAAAAGGAAAGAACACATGGTGAAAAAGGGGGGGTCATTCCAATTCTCATTCCCTGAGCACCGGCAAGAGAGCTGGGTTTCCCGCTTTGGATTAGGACACCAAGGCGAACCGTTCAAAGTCAGCTTCGGATGGGTGGTTTGAAGGTGTTCCGGAAAAGCAAGGAAGGTTTCCCATTTACCCCTAGAACAAGGGCTTCACATTTGCACACCGCCAATCCAAACCACTAATGTGGTGTTAAAAAGATCATCAAACTTGGGCCAAAGTTTCTGTCGAAAGAAGACATGGTCACAAGAAAGGAACATACGAATGCTCATATTTGGTCAGGCAGAACATACAAAAGGTGTTTGGAGGAAGTTCCCCGTAGAGATCTATCTGTTTTAGGAAGCGCGACCAGTTCGATTGGTCTCAAAGCCTCGAGCCGTGCGTGTTAGGACCCGAGCAAGACACGGGGGTTCGGGGTCCATCAAAAAAGAACGCCAAATTGAAGGCTTGGATATGTTGGGAGGGATATCGGCTATCTTCCAAGTGAAAAGGAAGGAGAAAACTAGACGACGAGTGGCCCGGAAGCATAGAGGCAAGTTGATGCAGGTGAGGTAACTCTCGCAAAGTTAGCATGAGGAGTTGGCAGGCGAAGCAATTCTCAAAAAGTTGGCATGAGAAGCTGGCAGGTTAAGTAACTCTCGAATAGTTGGCTGGCAAAGTTGGCGGGTGAAGTAATTCTCGCAAAGTTGACATGAGAAGTTGGCAGGCGAAGTAACTCAAGAGAAAAGTTGGCATGAGAAGTTGGCAGGTGAAATAACTCTCAAAGAGTTGGCATGAGAAGTTGGCAGGTGAAGTAACTCTCGAAAAGTTGGCGTGAGAAGCTGGCAGGTGAAGTAATTCTCGAAAAGTTGGCACGAGAAGATGGCGCGTGAAGTAACTCTCGAAAAGTTGGCGTGAGAAGCCGGCAGGTGAAGTAACTTTCGAAAAGTTAGCATGAGAAGTTGGCAGGCGAAGTAATTCTCGAAAAGTTGGCGCGAGAAGTTGGCAGGCGAAGTAACTCTCGAAAAGTTGGCAGGCGATGTTGGCAGGTGAAGTACCTCTCGAAAAGTTGGCATGAGAAGCTGGCAGGTGAAGTAATTTTTCGAAAAGTTGCCACGAGAGGTTGGCAGATAAAGTATTTCTCGAAAAGTTGGCATGAGAAGTTGGCAGGTGAAGTAATTCTCGAAAAGTTGGCAGGTGAAGTTGCCACGAGAGGTTGGCAGGTAAAGTATTTCTCGAAAAGTTGGCATGAGAAGTTGGCAGGTAAAGTAATTCTCGAAAAGTTGGCATGAGAAGCTCGCAGGTGTAGTAACTCTCGAAAAGTTGGCATGATAAGCTCGCAGGTGAAGTAACTCCTCGAAAAGTTGGCACGAGAAGTTGGCAGGTGAAGTAACTCTCGAAAAGGTGGCATGAGAAGCTGGCAGGTGAAGTAATTCTCGAAGTTTCGGCATGAGAAACTGGCAGGTGAAGTAATTAACCCTCAAAAAGCTGGAGCGGCGGAGGCGCTCCGCGTGCTACATTTGCAATTTACAGTTGCGATTTTCCAGCCATTTGTATCTAAAAGTTGCGATTTTCCAGCCGGAGCTGCGGGAGCACGCTCCGCGTACTACGTCTGTACTTAAAAAGTGCGATTTTCCAGCCGGAGCTGCAGCAGCCTCCGCGTACTACGTCTGTACTTAAAAGTTGCGATTTTCCAGCCGGAGCTGCAGGAGCACGCTCCGCGTACTACGTTTGTACTTAAAAGCTGCGATTTTCAAGCCGGAGCTGCCGCGGACCAGGGGGGAATCGAACCCGGGACCGCGGGATTGCGAAAGCAGGCGCGCACACCACGAGACAACTTCCAAAAGCCGTTTCGCGAGCAAGAAAATCGCACGGCGCCACAGCGAGAGCGCTTCGACACGCACGATCTCCGCAGAGGGTTCATCGGGCTCAAGACAGATGCGCACGGCGCCACAGCGAGAGCGATCCGACACGCACGATCCCCGCAGAGGGTTCATCGGGCTCAAGACAAATTCGCACGGCGCCACAGCGAGAGCGCTTCGACACGCAGGATCTCCGCAGAGGGTTCGCCAAGGTCAAGACAAATTCGCACGGCGCCACAGCGAGAGCGCTTCGACACGCACGATCTCCGCAGAGGGTTCGCCAAGGTCAAGACAAATTCGCACGGCGCCACAGCGAGAGCGCTTCGACACGCACGATCTCCGCAGAGGGTTCGCCAAGGTCAAGACAAATTCGCACGGCGCCACAGCGAGAGCGCTTCGACACGCACGATCTCCGCAGAGGGTTCGCCGGTCAAGACAAATTCGCACGGCGCCACAGCGAGAGCGCTTCGACACGCACGATCCCCGCAGAGGGTTCGCCGCGCTCAAGACAAATTCGCACGGCGCCACAGCGAGAGCGCTTCGACACGCACGATCTCCGCAGAGGGTTCGCCGGTCAAGACAAATTCGCACGGCGCCACAGCGAGAGCGCTTCGACACGCACGATCTCCGCAGAGGGGTGCGTTTCGTAAGCTCCCGTCGGGCCTACCCCCGCCATAAAAAGAAGAAGAATTAAGAGTCGAGATGTGAAGGTAGAACAGAAAAGTTAGCTTGTGTTTTTAGGATAGTGAAGTAACACCCGACAAATTAGCTTGTGCTTTTAGTAGAATGAGATAACAGCCGAAAAGTTGACATGAGAAGTTGGCAGGTGAAGTAACTCTCGAAAAGTTGACATGAGAAGTTGGCAGGTGAAGTAACTCTCGACAAGTTGGCATGAGAAGTTGGCAGGTGAAGTAACTCTCGACAAGTTGGCATGAGAAGTTGGCAGGTGAAGTAACTCTCGACAAGTTGGCATGAGAAGTTGGCAGGTGAAGTAACTCTCGACAAGTTGGCATGAGAAGTTGGCAGGTGAAGTTGGCAGCCGCTTTTAGAAGAAGAACCCTTCGCAATGCTTCCGGGAAAAACAGGAACAGACAAATTCAAAGTCTTGCTTGAATTCTCCCCCTTCTGCAATTTGAGCAACGGGCAATATTGCTCGGGAATCGGCTTTGGGTGGGCCCTCGCTAGTTTGGTAATTGTCGGGCATTGGGGGCCTGAACCAAGTTGAACCTTTTTAATATCTTTGCGGGGAGAAAGGCCATTCTACAAGAAGTCACAAGGTTAAAGCTGAATTCGGAAGGGCTCCCGGGTTCCTTCTATTTCCGCTCAAACATCACCCCCAGAGGCAACTACCCACTCTTTTTCGGCCTGGGAAATATGCTTCAGTTCTCTTTCGGGTTGCTACCGGATTTGCTTCAAAAGACAACGTCCAAAAAGAAGAAACAATCAAATTCTTATTCGCCCTTCTGCCACTCATGTTTGACTAACCCCGGGATGTGGACCAAGCCCTATGATTCACAGGTCTGAAGCTGGGATTCAAATTCCTTCTGCCACCTCACCCCCCCCCCCCTCACCCCCCCCGCACCCACCCCCCCCCCCGGACCCACCCCCCCCCCCCCCCACCCCCAACCCCCCCCAACCGGCCACCTCCTCTTCCGAGAGATTCTCCATGCATAGCTCCCCCCGCTCCGCCAGCTCCGCCAGGACCTTTTTTGAGCGTCCGACCCTCCGACCCAAAAAAAAAATAATCCTCGGGCCTCAGGCGCCAAGAAAGGTTCCAACTCTACACTCACACGGTCTTCCCATAAAGAGGGAGGTGTATGTTGAGGTCCTCCCTCAAGACTCTGTGACACTCACACTCTATGTTGAGGTCTTCCAGGAATTGAGGGACCTCAGCGTCCCCTACCCGATCGGCCCTTCGACCCCATCGGGTCGAAAAACTGGGCCCAACGCAAGGACGCCCTTTGCAACAATCGTGCTCGGAAGTCATGCAAACGCATCTTGATGTTTGGTCCATGGTTGGGATCATTCGAACAACTCTTCTGAGGGTTCATGCTTGAGCATATTTATGTGCGGCCCATGCTTGGTAGATTTGGCGTCATCCACATAGAGCATCTTGATGTTCCACGCTTGGAACCGTTTGCATCGGACATATTGATGTTGTGGTCCATTCTGAGCGGACCATACCCTTCCAGACCGCGATGCTTGGCCCATGTCTGGTTACACTCGGGTGTGTGGTGAATGATCGGTAGCAAAAAAAACATGGCCAGATGCGGTATAACTCCAAAAACATGCCGATATGATCACAAGTCCCATGTTTGGTATATTTTGTTATCACAACAGTGGTTCATTTTCAATTTAGGTCCATGTGGGCCGAAATGCCTCAGCCTGGTAGCACGTTCACTTGCGATTCTTGAAGCCCTTCCCCAGCTTGTACCAGCTCCCGAGCACCCCCATTGCCCTGGAGCTGGATCACTGCTGGCATAGACCACGTATATGTAAATCATAGTAATGATAGAACGCACTCAACAGTATAGCAAGCAGGTCTCTCCTTTGCCGAGTAATAGCAGCATTTGGAGTCACCAAGGTGGCGGATAGGAAAACGGCCGCGGTTTCTGACTTCAGCCATGAGCAGCCAACACACTGGGGCTCAAGGAACAGCAGCCACTTGTCTTAACTGACAGACCAGGGACCCAGGCATCATCACACAACATGCCAACCATGAATAAGGAAATACACATGGATTCCATTGCTATTTACTATGTCCTGTGAATGTACTTCCCTGCTAATTGTAACATGAGTCACAATCAAAAGGTGGTACAAACATGGTGAACCCAGAATGTAAAGATTTAGAAAGGCGGCCGCAACTATTTCCGGCTGGGACTGCCCCTTACCAACCTTCATCAATCCCCGGGTTTTGATTGTGGCTCACATCCTCATCGCCATCGGTGCCCATGGGGGGCCGACAAGGTTTTCGAAAGGGCAGCAACATGGCTTCTTTCGGACACCTTGGGCGTTGTCTCCAATTGGGCAAATATCTTTTTTGAGGGTACCCCAACCATCTGTTTGCGGTCCTCTGAAAAAGACCACGCCAACCGACGGCTTGGCTTCCCTGCCTGCAGCCGCTCCTCTGACAGCCCGTCGCTGGTGTCCTGCGCGAGTCAAGCGTCAAGCCTTTCCAGGACTGAAATAAGGGTACATCTTTGGGGGGAGCATACGCATGTGCGTATGTATATATATATAGGAACAATTTTGTGTATATGTGTACATATATATATATATACATACAAATTATTGATACACTCATCTATGCAGGAACATATTATCTGCTCATCATGTTGGTTTGATCCACCTGAAACACAAACAATATGGGTGCACCAATTTTTGAGGGTACCCTCTTTTGTGCTGCTTTCAAGGGGCACCAAACGGGAAACCACCTCTCTTCTTTTTCTTGGGGGGGCCTGAAAAAGGAACCCCTGTTCGCCTTTGTTGGGGGTAATTATATCGCTCGTCACCTTTTGCTTGTCAGCAGCACGCCCACACACACAGTGTTCAGCACACCACTTTTTTTCGAAACCGCGACACCACTCAGCTCTTGCCCCAAACCAGAAAATAATAAGTTATTCTGGTCCGCATTTGGTAAACCTTCAAATGTCAAATCATGTCAAAAGCGGCTCAAGACTTAGTTTAGCTTCAGGCTGCCCTGCTCTGCAGTAAGTGAATCAAGACAGGAGCGAGTCGGGCAATAATTTGGCAGAGCCCTGCGCAAGTGCTGAGAGCATCGCAGTTTTACACGGCTCGCCTGTTGCCCATTGTGAGGGAAATGAAACAATAGCTGACTGGCTCATTGGCTAGCCTCCGCGCTGGGTTTCCGGACACTGTGACTTGGAAAGTGCAGGAAAGATCCGCTTCTCGTCCAAGGCAGGGCTGCTTCTACGACAGACCCACGCTCGAGAAAGTTTCATATTTTGCCTGTTCGGGGAAAACCCCTCAAAGAGGGCTTCTACACTGGAATTGTGGGTCACTTTATTTCAACCGCACCTCTCACGAAAAAGTGAACCGACTCGCTCAGATCCGGGGCGCGGCTATGAGGAGGCCCATTCCAACACCCAGGAGCAGGACGTGGCTTGCTTTGGCACCGCTGTGGAGCTTCTTGGTGGTCTTCATAGCAAGTGCAAAGCCTTGGTAGTGCCAAAGGGGACTCCCCTGGCGCTGAATGGAAGTGAACCAGGAAACTGTCGTGGAGTAGTCCCGCAATTTTTCATAACGTTGTAATACCGAGAAGCCATGATGGCGGATGGTGGCTACAAACCCAATGGAACACAAGCACACACCCGCATAAACATAATTACCCAAGCATCGCGAGTGCAATGCCGCAACAATCCAAAAACAAAACAACAAACTGCAACTATGTGGAGGATGGAGCAAGGGCAGTCGTCAACATGGGCGCGTTTTGGGACATCCAGCCCCGACAGCACGCTCTCGTCAGATTCTGCTTCGTTGAACAAGCAGGTTCAGCCATTTGTTTCATCAACTTTGTTCGCTCTATCAACACCCTCAAGTTGTGTGTCCACATTCCACCATGAGTTGTGTTCAGCTCGATAATGATAAATTATTACAAGAAGTAGAGTCGATGTTGTATGCACCTCTCTTTAAGAACCGTACGTGCGACTTTCACTGCGTACGACTCACGATTATTCCTATAAATGTTTTCCCAGTTACGAGTCAGCTTATATACCGGATTTGGATAATTCCGCTACCAGTCCAGCTTACTCCACAATCGTTTGTATTCGTTTGTGTAGTCACTGTTCTAGTGTTTCTCGTATGCGCTTGAAACAGATATTCGGATTCCATCGCGGGAACCCACGTGGGCTGTTGTCAAGTCTCTGACTGCCACTTTTGGCAGTGCTAGTGTCTTTTGGGATCATCATTTACATGGGCATTCATGGCCACCAACCATTTGTTTAAGGGACTCAGAACTGACCTTCATAGCCAACATGAAGCCGAAAGCGGTGCCACAAAGGGCAGTCATGGCCCTGCCACTGGGGAGGTTGGGAAGCGCACGGAGCTTTTGCAGAACGCCTTGCCAGCGGAGGCGCCTCTCTCAAAGGCCGGGGTCCGGAATCTCCGGATGGGTCCTGGATGCCCTTTCCAACAGGAACTGCCGCAGGTCCTTGAGCGAAGCTGAGATTGGAACTCCCAACATCTCCCATGCATGCAGCTTTCTGCCTGGCAGATTCTCTTTGGCCATTTGGGCAATCTGGGGCTCGCGCTTTGAGCTGTCTTGTTTGTCAGCGGGTGTGAGGTCTTTACTCGCAGCTTGTATGGTCTGAAGCAGCCGGCGGCTAGGGGTCATGCTGGTCTTTGGACCCCAGCATCTTAGACCGCTGGGACAGTTTTTGAGCCTCCAATGCACCTCCAGAAGGTTACTATTTTGGCTCAAGGTTCTGCTGCGTTCCGACTTGCGAGCCTTGTGTGGCACCAAGCCATGGGTGCGCTTGATAAACGTGCTTGTTCCATGCGAGGGATTCGCGTAGGCATGTCCAGTACTTCTCTTGGTGCCCCAACGCAGCCAGGATCTCACCCCCAATTCAAATTCATTCTCGTCTCAAATTCACAATGTCGGCATTGGTCCTAAGAACCTGGCAAAGAAGCTCGACCTTTTCTTTGGACCCCTTGACTAAAAACGGGCCGATCATCACCAAAAGGCTCGAGGGTGAGGCTTCCCTTGGTGGAAGCAAGGCTCAACTCAGCCAGGCCGCCCACAGTGCCTAGCAGCAGGCCCCAAAGCTGCTCTCTGTCGAAGCCCTCGTGCGCTCGAATCACCTGAGCTTCCAGCGCTTCTGTCGCACCCGCTTTCCAACAACTTGGTGCGTCCCCTCAAGGACAGTAGTGGTCCGAAACCCTCCTGTCAGCTTGCTTGATAGCTGCAGTGTGTGCAAAAACGATGCAGGTAGCCCGTACTACAATTTCCATGTGGGTAGAACTTCCTGCAAGCATGGCCAAAAACTCCAAGCAACTCAGCCCTGTCCGGGGCCATGGCAGGTTGCCATTTGGGCTCCAAATTCCTTGTGCTAAATCGATGGAGGCCGAAACGATTCCCGCCTGCGCGGAAAGCAAAGATACCGCACAGCCCTCCAGGTAGCCAACGATCACATCCAGCCAGTGGTGAGCTAAGAAATACCTCGGTGAAACGAATGATGTAGTCGGCCATGTGTGTTTTCAGGCCTGTCAACTCTCACGGGGGTAACCAACTGGACAAAGTTTGCAGGTGGCCACTTGATGGCTTTTGTTGATGCCCATGAGGGCCACAAGGGTGCCACTGAGAAACTAAGAACATGTTCAACCCAGAGGTGCGGAACGCTGTCTCTGTTGGGGTGCTTGTGGCAGATATCACAAAGAGGAGAAGGGCGAATGCCCAAACCTTCCGAAAACCTGGTGAAACAGGGTAGAATGATCTTGTCTATTTTTCGCTGTTGGGTGTCCTTTTGCGGGTGGGTGAAATGGTCTTGACTGCCTGGAATGGGAGTCCTCAATGATCTTAAGGGAATGCCACTACGGTTGTGGGAAACAAACCTTGCTGTGAGTCCACTTTAAGCCAGAAACATTGACACGCGTTTGGCATACTGGCTTGTCACCCTTGCCCACGACTGGTGCTTGGCTTGGACACTTGCTGATTCCTTACATCGGCTCATTTCCTCGCAAAAAGGGCCACCCTCAGCAACTTTTGGCCCCTGCACAGGAAAAAGACAGCTACGGTGAATGTCATAAATATTGCAAGTAGGCCAACATGCCGCAATTTACCAGGGTTTCGTGGACGTGGTTGGCTCACTTGTCATATTGGGGCCCCTTCAAACGGCGGAACTAACTGACGCATGGGTTCCAACAGGGCGCCTTGTAACAGCCACCCCCACAGTCAGGAGTCAGTGTTTCCCAAAGAGGAGGCTCAGGCCTTCCCAAAAGGAAAGTCGCCAAAGGGGGGAATATATGGTCCCCTGGTCCTGATCAGCTCGGACATCTCTGCAGCCCTGGGTGCACGCGGCCAAATCCTACCTTGGCCACAGCAACGGGGTGTCAATTGTCAACTAAAGTTGGGGACCTCTCCGGATGGCTGTCAAAGGACAAAACGGAATCCTGGGTGCTAAATAGAGGCGGGCAAATTGAGAAATGGTCAATCCATTGCAGGGGACCCCCTAGAAAAGCAAGGTGATGGCAAGGGAGAAAAACATATCGCTGCTATTTGCTTCTCGAATCAAAGGATTTCCATTGTCCTACCAGCACTTGCTTATCAGAATGAAAAAAAGGCACACTGGCAACCAAACACCCGCAGGTGCAGGTGTAAAAGGAGCAAAGGCAAACCATGCGGTTTGTCTGACGCTGGTGACTCGGGGTTTGTCCGTTGATGTGTGTTCCCAACACCTCTACTTACATCAGCACAGGGTTTGCAGCATGGGCCTCCCCCAGCGAAAGCCACGGTTGCTTTAGCCCTTGGAACGTTCTGGGACGAGTCTTGCAAAAGGGGCCGTCATAAAACCAATCAACGAGTGGCGGAATTCTACGCTGACCCCAACTCAAGCCTCCAAGCAATCAGGCAACAAGGCAAAATCCCGTTGTTTTCAGATTGTTGTTTCCCTTGGTTACCTATATTATACGGAGTCCAAGGAAGCACTGGGACATACTCTTCAACGGCAGTCAGAACCGAGAATGACTTCTGGGCTGACTAAACCAGAGCTTCCTGAAACTTCGGTAAACAATCCCCCACCCCTACCACTTCCTAAGTCTTGGGTAAGCAATCCTGTGTAAAGGCCGTTGGTTGCTTCGCGCAATTGCTATTCTTTTTACGGCTGAATGTGTACCTTCACGAATATGAAGCATGCATCTTGTCTCCAGGCAGCTCAAAGCCTTCGGAATTCTGACTTCAAGCAGAGAATGGGACACAGTACTGTGGCCGGGTGCTGCTGTTTAGGGTGCTGTTGGAGAGTTCTAGGCACGGTGTGAGTAAGAGCTCGATAGGGTGCTGTTGGAGGCTGCGGCAAAGCAGGATGTTGGTGCGGCAAGCGAGGTCTGGGGTCTAGGTTGCGTCTGCGTGTATTGTACATGCTCTAGCATTCCCGGTTGTCAATCATCTGCTTTGCCAACACCAAAAACATGTCGTCTATGCTGGTGAATTGAGCCCACAATAGTGGCTGGGTTCCCATACTTAACCAATACTTGCTGGTTCATGATTAAATAAGCCAAGCTACATACAGGGGGTTCATGCGTGTGCGTGGTTTACGCTTTTGACGATGCTCTTTTTGCTGGTTTGAACAAGCTCAAAAGGACCCCCTCGTCACCCCTCTATTTTTGGATCTGTCGCCCCCTCATAGGCGTCATTCAGCCTTTGTCAAACCAGCCAGCGCCACAGCCACCAACACCGAGTTGCATAAAGCCCTAGGAGCCACCAGCCGCTGCCGCAGCCAGCCAACGCCAATGAGGCACCTCGCGTTGCACACCCTATATTGGATAAAACCCGCGGGTTTAGATAGGCGATTTATCCCAGTATAAGCCGTATAAGGCTTCATCCATCTCCGTTGCACGGACTTTTGTGCATAGTATCCCACTGTGGAGTCACTTTAAAGGTAGAAAGTTGATCCACAGGAAGGAAAAGGACCCAATTCCAATGTGCTTGCTTTGGTCATTGACCAAGCTTTCAGGGCGGCTCGGCCAATTGAATATCACTCCACGCCTGTGACGCTGCCCGCCATGGTGTCACCAGATGGGAAGGCAGCGCCGTCCTCGGACCATGGTTGGCACTGGACCTATGGCAACCCCTCCCGATATGGGAGTCTCTCCAAATAGGGGTCCCCCTAAAATGGTTGGTTTCCTTTCAGTTCGACTTCCCTCAAAACAACAACCAAAAGAGCCGCACACAGTTGTTGAGAACCTCTCTGGCAACCTTGGAGGGCTGCCAAAACGCAAAGCCAAATCAGAGACCCGGAGCTGACCCCAGAGCCCGAAAACCAAGCCGAATGTATTCTTTAAACCCGAAGGTTTGATTGACGCGTCTGGCCCATGCAAGGCTGAACCACCTCTTCATTTTAAACCTTTGCCGTTTTCGCACTTCACCTCCTGAGTGATGATGCTAAAGGGTAGTAATGATCCGCAGCGCGGTGGTTGCTGTTTGTGGTTTTAGGCAAAAGTTCAGCTCACTGTGGGAGCGGTCCGTGCGAGACGCTTGCCAACCCATGCATGGACGCAAAGATGACCAGACCAGAGTATGTTGGCACCATAAGCACGCAGCTGGCTCGCAGTCCGGGCTGTTTAAACACCGGCGCTCTTCCCAACGGCCTAAAGCTATCGTTTGTTAGAACCTCAAATGGGTTCTAACAAAATGGGTTCTATCATGCTAGACATCAAATCGCCTGTGAATCAAGCTGGAACCGTTTCATTGGAACAAAATTCAGGGGCCTCTGAAAGGTAGACCGAAAAACCCATCCGAGCTTCTGCGCTGTTCTCCTTGGGGATGATGGTGCGGAAGAGTCGGCGAACCTGTAGAAACCCAGGGCGAGGCCAACCCACTGTTGCTGAAGCACTTTGCTTTTGGCTTACTTCAAGGAGAACCAGGATTTTGGTTAATTAAAGAAACATGTCGCTCCCTGCGGAAAATCATCGTTCACATGGCAACTCCTGGTTGCAAGCGATCATCTTAGCTGCAAGCTGTGCCAAACACGTCATACAAGCTGGAAGCTGAACCGAAAACCCAATTGTTCAAACGCGGCACTGGATTTGTTGTTGAAATCAGCTTGACCATAGGTGTCTGGTTCCAAAGAACTGGTTGGGGGTCGGACCTTTCCCCCAAGTTTGATCCCCGGCATCTTTGGCCCTGCATCCAAACCCAAATGATAGGCTCTAACAAACCGGTTCCTTTCGCATGCGCAAAAAACAGACATGATTATCAAGCACCCTCCCAACGCACCTTTCAAGCATACCCTGGACTTCAAATGCCACGAATCATCAGTGGAGGGTCGGGATATAGGTAAATTGGTCTACCCAAACAAACGGAGAATGAACAAGAGAGCTGGCATTGGGACGGTCCCACGTCCCACCGTCCCACCCCTCCCCGAGTTTTGATTGCTCTGTAGGGTTCTTGGAGTGACGGGACCTTTCGGCGCCTCCGGGGGCACTGGGCGCTGTCGCTGGAAGCTCATCTTCAGCGCACGGTTCAGCACCTGGCCGTAGCTCAGCGCAAACCTCGGATTCCGAGGGCATCAACCCGACTCCTAGGGCAGTCCTAGCTTGCAAGTCTGCAGGTCATTGACATATTTCACCACGTTGACAGTGCAGGGGTTTGATATTACAGCTCGAAACCTCGAACCTAACACCACCCTGTCCCACCAGTACATGAGGGTCCATCATAGCCGCCGGTGTCCTTTGGCTTTTGACACCACCCCACAGAGGGGTCTATGAGACACACCCAAATGAACAGAAGCGAAACAGCAGACACCCTGCAACCGCCAGAGCGTGACACCAGAAACGCGCTTGCCCTTGCCCGAGCCTGTCCCGTGTGAAACCTAGGGACCTTTCCAATCGCACCTGTTTCATGTCATTTTGCTCTTCATCGAAAGGGTCCCAATGTCTTCATGCCAAATCCGGTTTCTCGCACAACGAGGTACCCCTCAAACTGGCTGGTGCAAGCTTCTGGAAGGAACTCTGAAGCGGCCACTAGTTTCCAGCTAAATGTACTTGTGTGCGTCTCGAAATGGGGCACCTCACCCAGGCAGTTGGTTTCCCCTCGGCTTCTCTTTAGGATATCAAACCGAGTCAAAAAGGGAGCTGCTTATTTTTGGACACTTCTGCTTGGCAAAGGGAAACAAGGACACCCCCCTCTCTATACTCCGTTTTGGATAGCTTTCAAGCGAAGCCACGGAGAATCCCAATTTAGGGTCCAAAGCTTGGCCATAAAGGGGCCAAAGACACTTCAGTATGACCCCGCTTCCAATGGTTTGCCCCCCATGTGAGCGCCCACTCCCAAAAATATCCCTTGTTTTTCTTGCGCCGAGTCGCAGCACTTGGCGCAAAGGTTGGAACCCGTACAAGGTCCCAGCTATGAAGAGGGAGACGCCGACGCCCTCCCAGCTGAAGGCCAAAGAGCCTGCGATCGAGGCGGGGGTGCGCTCCGTCTAAAGCGGAAACACTGTCTCGTAGCAAAGCAAACGCAACGACCAAAACAAGTACTTTGCTTCGAGCAATCCCCAGACATTCAACTGCCCAAAGGCTCAGTAGACCAACGCTTTTGCGTGATGCAGCTGCCTCACAGCTGTCCTGATCCGACCACCGGCGTCCTCAGGCTTCGGACTGTCACAGCTGTCTGTCACAGGCTCCGTCGCAGCTAGTCTGTTTTTTGGCTGTTAAAGTAGTGCGGAGTGCGGTCGGTCGGAAGTCGGGTGTCCACAAACCTGTTGGGTGGAGAAGATGTGAGGAGCCCAGTCTCAGTCTGGCAGAAACAACTTGCTGGTTCTTAGTAGGGAATGAATCGGAACGATCATGAACTGAATCATGCCTCGTGGTTTTCATGGCAAAACACCTCTTGAAAGAAACAACTGGGTGCAAAACCCGCTAGAAACGAATGGGACCCCTTTTCGGGGTTCTCTCCACAAATTGACATGGAGCTCCCCATGCTCCTGCCCAATGTTCCACCTCGCGAAACCGCTCAGGACGTACCCTTGAAGTGATCCCTTTCTGACAAACACAACTCTATGCGACACTAAATTGCCTTGCCCATTTTTCTCAGGGGATGACATGGGGCGCACTCACCACAAATATCCTTAGAAAATTGGGGTACGTCTACAACACCGTTTTCCAATGATGGAAGTTGACGTGCCGCGGGCCAGCAATAAGAGGATGGGTTTCGTCTGCTAACACCTGTCCAATTCCATTGTAAAGGCAGCATAAGGCAAAGCGATAGCCTCAGCAATGCATGAGCCATGGTCAACAAAAATACGCAGGGTTCCCAAAAGCGCATGGGAACTTGGGGTTCGTCCTCTGGTCTTGTCCATGGACAAGTGTGGACTAAATCACGACTCCCGAATCTTGGCCCTATGACTCACTTTCAAGAGAATTGTCGCAGAACAAATGGGAGGCCCAAATAGACAGGGCATGAGGTTGAACACCTAGCTGGGCTAGATCTGTTTGCTTCCCCACACAAAAAAAGACATTTGGAACGTACCGAAGGAAGGAACCCTCGAAGAAATAGATGAGGAAGGCTGCCGCATCCTTGCCTTTTCGGTTTTCAAGGTCAAAAAGACCCCTCTTTTGGTGTGTCAAAAAGGGGCGCGACAAAAACGAAGGAGAAGAAGCCGAGTCTTTGGATTTGCAACACCGGAAACAACTAGCCAGCAAATTCCTCAATCGTAGTGTCTAGTCTGCATGCTTGGGACCCTACCGTCTCGCAACTTAAGCGGACCAGGTCGGCTATGCAAATGGCCTTCCTCCACAAATATTCAAGAACAATCCCCTATATGATTACCTGACAACTAATTGCTCGCCTATCGTGAACCTAACAAACAAAGACCCTTCCTCGTGTTTTCATGGTGGCCATGCGATGGGGATGATGCCTCGTATTCTTCATGCCAGCATCATGCAAACACTTCATCAATTCACCAGCTGACACAATGCCAGCTCCATTCGTCAAAGAACACATGCAACCTTCAGCACCTTCCTGTCCGAGGTCAAAATTTCCTACAAGAGCAACAATAGCAGGGACCCCCGTCTTCGTCACTTGAGGCACGCATGCCTAGGAGTAACAGGTGTGCCAAATCTGGCAGAGCAACTCTGCAAACCTTTCTTTTTCAACACGATGCACAGTCCTACATGTGCAAGCTGCACAACCTCACAACACCCTCATTTGACCTCAGTCCGTCTTGCATCACAATTCCCCTTCAACCTCCGAAGCAGCACTTGATTCATTGAACCCCAACTCTCCTCTGATTCCGCCCTGGAGGTTACCAAGAAAAATCAACATGTTCCGGGCGTTGGGCAAACTTGGGGTCATGGTAACATTCACAGAGTGTTCCCTATATTTCCCCTAAAACATCAACAAAGCAACTCACCTTGCGGAAAAACAACATGATGTCTAAGCCACTCAGGGACCAATAGGGGAACTCCGGTCAAATCCCAACCCCTTTCCTATGGCCTGGGTACACCAACACCTCCAGGTATCCCAAGGACATGCTCTGGGCCCACTTGGTCCATCGCACGTCCAGTTCCAGCAGCCGCGACAAAAAGGCCATGGCTGCGGGGGCTTGCCCAGTGTCAGGTCTCGTGAGCCTCTGGGTTTTGAACTAGGTGAACCCCTGAACCCTTGATTTCATGCGATTTCCCGACACAGGGTCTCTATGGTCTCAAACTCTTCATGCTTGAAACCTTGGTGGACCCTCACTGCTTGCGAATGTGTTTGTGCCTTCTGAGCGGGCGTGCACCCACTTCAATCAAGCAACTGATCTGAGCTGAACAATGCGTGGCTTTTGGATGGTTCTTGGCAGGACTGTGCAAGATCTTTGCCTATCCGCCAGCTTGAGTAGAGAGCTGGAGATATTCATATATATGGAAATATATATATATATATATATATATTTAAAGACTGCGCATGGCTTGAACAAATCTCAAAATCGCCGACATTCCACCCGCAGAACTTGCACTCCGGCACCCGCCGTCTTCCGGCGTAGAAGCCCGCAAAAAACAACAACACCAAAAGCGAGTTGGGCAATGTATGCAGAATGCGGACCTTTTGCGAGTTCTCTGCAAATTTCTCAGGAGTGTGCCAATTCATTGGATCATTTGGCAGCTCAGTCCTCCTCCTCCTCCTCCTCCTCCTCTTCATCGTCCGGATCATCTAATCGCGATAAGGACGCGACCACCTGCAAAAAACATTGCAGGGAGAAACCACCCGATGCAGTGGATCAAACCACTCCTGCACCAGTTGGTATGTGGCTTATCCCACTATTCCTTAGGCTACATCCATGCCGACTAGTGCATGATTTTATCCATCCACATGACCAAAACTATTTGCCACCCACACACCCAGCCACCCAGCCACCCAGCCACCCACACACCCGTACCAAATGGCCCAAAGACATTTTCAGCGCCGGCGCCTTCTCCAGGCGCCGCCTCTCCTCCTCATCCACCCTTTGACTCCGCAGCTCCTCCTCCACCTGAAAAGCGGCGCGGCGGACAAACAAAAACACCACGGAGCGCTCGCGTGTGTTTGAGGCTCGCTACTCTTTTCTTGGTTTCAATGGGAAAACTAGAGGAACACCACCATTTTGGGGCTGGGGATATTTTGACTTCCTCGCAAGGGAACTGATCTGAAATGCAGAAAGGTGCAAACCTGGGTTGAACTTCTTGCTCCCGAGTGTATTTTGTTGGTAGCATGACCGGAAGGTTCTTGAGACACGTGACAACATGTTGGTGAGTCACCAGGAAACAGGCATATTCCACAGGTTTAAAGGTGAAGTGTTGCATCAGAGATGTGGGCCAAACATTAAAAGTGCTTAGTAGAGGGGGCATGGGGCACACTTACCAACAATGCATTTGGGAACGGGGGGGTACTCGCCAAAGTCCCTGAATATTGGCCATGGCTCACATGCAAAAGCATGAAAGCACCGCCGCACAAGAGTTAGATAGGGTTGAATCACAGCACGGAGGCATGTGCCACTGAATGGTTCGGATATCTGGCGTGGCGTCATGCCCCTGATAAAACTCCATCGCGAAGCACTGCCGCAAGGGAAATAGGGTTGGGCCAGGTTGGGAAACTATTCAAGGCCTATAGTTTCCTTGAGAAGCCAAACGGACAGCATGCATATGGGTGAACCATATTCAGGAAGAATCATTCGTGGCCAAAAATTCGCACGCGTGGCCCTCGCGATCTTGCTTGCGCCTGTGACTTGTAAAAGCTCTCCGTGCATTTGCCGCTGTGTGCCTGGCAGGCATTTGGGGCAAACCCACAAGGGCGTCCAAAAGAGCTACCCACCAACCCACCAACTCCCTTGGTGGTATATTGCGGAGGGGGAGGGGGATGGTGGGTGGGTAGGAAGTGTCCTACATATCATATATGGCTGTGGGTCAAAAATAAGTGCCCAAAATGGAACCCTGGTAAATGGAAAAGTAGACTAAAACCTGCGGTCCCCTGGTGGTTTAATTTTGACCCATACCCATATTATGCATTCGCTTGATCCCCTCTCCAACAAAACTAAAAAAACCACCCACACAAAGCCCTTTCTTGGGTCCCGCTCATGCATGCGAACACGGGGCTCAACTACGTACCTGTGGCCGGGTATGTCTGAGGCGATTGCCCTCTGCAAGTGTCCAAGAAAACCTCATTGGCTACAACCTACTGTGGATGGACGAAATCCTGCACCACCTAAGAAACCAGTGGTTGAAACCATTGTTCGTTGGTATTTACAGGGGAATGATCATTCCAGGGGTTCTTACGTGGTGCAGGATTTCGTCCATCCACAGTATGTACTGTTCCATTCATGAAAGACTGGGCCATTTCAAGAGGATGGTCTTCCCAAAGCCCAACGGCTTAGCCATCACAAGCGCTTCAATTCGTGGCCTCGCATGGCTTCAGGATCAATCGGGACTCTGGCCGAAATCCCCCCACAATAACGGACTCGGATCCAAAACGCGATGTGCCCATGAGAAGCTGGACGAAACAAACGAGGACACAAGGTGAGTCCCACGATTGAAGAAACAAGAAATGAGGGGTTGCTTCAAAATAGGGGAAACAAAACAATTAACACGACCCGAGCACCATCAACAATATTCACACCCCACATTTGGTGAAAGCACAGTTTTCGGGCGACCCAACAAGAGATCTGCCCGAAAGGGTTGCCGGGATTGCCGCCTGAAAAGGTCTGAGGTTGTTTTAGCGGCACCTACGGGAGGTCCACAGGGTTTGCCTTGAACTTCCATCGTCTATTGCAGATGTCTAGGAGTTGATTCCCCATACTTTCTTCCACCATCGTTCTTTTCAAGAACCAGCTGTTTCCCCACGGTTTTGGGTGGTTTTGTAGAAGGATGCCTGGAAGGAATGGGGAAGGTACCCGTAGAGGATGGTGTACCCCTCACTTCATGAGACTGACCAACAAGAAGTCTCAATGTTTTACCACTCAAATGGCCCAAGCCACAAATCCTACAGTCTAGGAACTCATAGGCCATCATTCTATCGGTACCTTCCCCATTCTTTCCAGGCATCCTTCTTTCTAGAACACCTCCAGAAACCCAGGGAAAACGGCTGGTTTTCGAAAAGACAATGCACCACCCCTAGAACCATAAGCAATCCCATCTCACGGCTTCCCGGTCTCACCTGGTAACAGCTGAGGCTGCAGTAGGCTGATTGGCACCGGGGGCAGGTGTACCGGGCCTCGTTTGGCGTTACCCGGAGGCCAGCCGAAAGGAACCATCTCAAAATTGAGTTCGGACCCTTTTAGTTGGCTTTTTACAGGGGAGCCAGCAGGCAACTATATAAAACGGCGATTTTGAGAAACCCGGAGCAACAAACAAGCTTACATGGGTCCGAGGGTCAGTGGTCAGGCTTCCTTACATGTGTAACGAACAAAACTAAAAGAACATGGTGCTATAGTCAAATCCTTGTGCGAGTCACGGGTCATGGTTTTTTGAAAATGATCCTTCCAATCAGGGTTCCTTAGGGTCAATGGTCAGGGTTGATAGAATGTCTCCCCTAGTGTTGTCAGTCACTCATGTCTCCTCTTCAAACCTCACCCACGCTAAACGCAACCTCATCTTAATGTGTAGATCACCCAAGGGAACGTGTAAGAACCTCCCAAGAACGATGTCATTTTGGGGGTTCATAAGAGGTGACTGTCAAACAGTCAAACATACTTTCCACTCGAACTCTTCATCCAACAGCTCAAAATTGAAAGGCGACGCCACAACATCAAAAATATAATGGTCGAGAAATAGGGGACCCCCCGCTGGAGTTGCTTGAAGGAAGATGACCGGAGGCCTACTACTGGACCACATCAGGCAACAAATGTCATACGTCCAAACCAGAC